TACCTCTTGTATCATCAATTGTCTTAGATGAAATATCGATCTTGATATCAAAAATCATTAATGGATTGCTCTTTTTGCTACTTAATTATGGTGTGGTCAGGAAAAGTTTCTGAAGGGTCCCGTCAAAAATCATTTATTTTTATCAAATGTGCAGTTGCTTTAAAATGAGACATGATCCAATATGTTATCTTGTCGGAAAATTGTAGGCCTGGGACCCCCCAAATGAAAGCCTGAAATTCTGCCACTGAAGTTAGGCATATGCATACCACATCTTAAGCATTTTCCATGAGTCTTGTGCTTAAAGAACATCTATTCTTGAAGAGAGGAACAATGAAGTATTAGGAACTAAGAGCTAATTAAGTGCATACATGGATTTTAAATGTTTAGGAACATAAACTTGACATATTTGGTAATGATTATGACATCTTTTTTACCAGAGTTTTATTTACTCAGTTTGTACAATTAGTTGTATTTTGAATAATCTCCTTAAATAAGCTAGAAGCAAATTCTGTGTTACAAAGAGAGTGTGATAATGGATTCTTTTGTAATTGTAATAGAACCTTCCACCAACATCAGATGTTGAAAGAAAACTGTCTTCCTTGGTTTAATGTTTACAGACTCAGATCAAACAGTTAATATTCCCATTTTCAAACCATTTGATAGAACAATAAAATGTCACAATGGAAGTCATCTGTGTTCTGCTATTGATGTTTCAAAAATACTTGATTTAATTAATAGTCATATGAGCAGGGTGATCAAATCCAATTGGGGAGAAGATCAAGATATTTGTCAAGTTTATTACCATTCACTTTCTACATAGAATGTTTTAGATTTACCAATGTTAAAATAATGTCTGTCAATTTTCCGTGTATAACAAAATAAACACCTTGCTTTAGGTTTGTTCGTGGGTACCCTTCTTGCTTAATTGTGGAACAGAAATCATTTGCAGTGAAAGTGGGCACACTTTTGTAAATTGTATAAAGTACCAGTTTATACAATTTAAAGCTGTAAGTTTTGCAAGCATCCCATGTGGTACTAGGGTGAATGTTCAGCCATTTCTGTCAAATCATGTTAATTTCAGACAATAGTGATTTGATATAAAAGTTATGAATTAATTTTGTATAGTTTAGCTTTGAGAAACTTAGATGTTAAGTACATGCCATTATTAAATTTCCTAATGAAGCTTAGTAAATTGACAACTGTTGACCTTAATCTTAGATAAAGATAAAGCATTAACTATTGATCAAATTAATTAAAAAACTTGCATGAATTATAGAACAACATTGTCAATCTATTGTGCACTGTTAGACGAAGTAGCAGGTTCTTTTCAGGTATTCAATTAAACTTTTATCTGTTTGTCACAAAAACCTGCATCTGCCTAGCTTAGGTAAAACCTTCTTCAAAGCTATTTTGGTTTCTATTACACAAACTAATGCGAACAATTTTAATGTTAAATTGTTGATTTGAATTTTATTAAGACAAGCTTTGTGGTTTTATCAAGGTTAGTTCTATTGTTTCTTTTTATTTCCTTTAAAAATTTTATTCTATATTTTGAAAGAGATCAATTTCAACATTTGTCTAATCTTTAAGCTTTCTCGGTTGCAGAGACATGCAGATGCTAGAAACTATCCAGGAGTATGTACCATTCAAGCACAGTTTTGGGTACTTCAGTTCATGGATTGCTAGTAGGTATAGGATACCAGATCATACTTCTCAAGAAGATGAACAAAATAACGAAAATGATGATAAAGGAAGTTTGTCAGAAGCCTGCAGTCAGATTACAGCTCCAAGTAAAGATGAATCAACCAAAGACGAGTTGGATGCGCATCAAAAAGAAACAGGAACAACCGAAACGCTGATGTGTGAAACAACATTTATATCACCTGCACCAGAGCCACAGGAAAAACACGGCCAGCCGAACAGTCATCAAGGAATTTCTTCCTCGAGTAATGGCGGTTATCAAAAAGGCGCGAATGACGATGATAGCTACACCTCAGGGACAGAAAATGGCAAGCAAGGCTGTGTTGGTTCAAAAATAGAATCATTTTTGTACAATAATATCCCTTTAGACGATTGCAGTTGTGCCAGCGATTCTGAAAACGACAATCTAAAGTCTGACAGTAGAACCAACGGGAAAGAAAAAAAACGTTTAGGATCACACTCTTTATCGAAAAAGATGCCGTTATTTTTGAAAGGGCGAAGAAAGAAAAAGCGCCGTGGAAGCACGTTGAGTGATTACAAGTCATCGCTGGCTAGAATTCATTGCGCATGTGCCATTGGTGGCGACGAATTGTGTCTTGTTCACCTAAAAAGTCACAGCGAGTCGGATATAAACGTATCGAGATACAAGCGCAGCGAGGATTACTCAACTAATGGGGATTTGTCTGATATCTCGGTGACGTCGTTTTCATTAGCTGAAGATGACAGCAGCAGCGGTAGTTATGTGGACATAGACTTGCGTTACATCCGCAAATCATTACTTGGCTCTGGCAGTTGGAGCAAATCAGATCGTAGTATAGAACTGTCAAGTGATTGGTCGGAGATACATCGCACAATCAGTGATCCCAGCCTCTGCGAAGACACTATAAGCTTGGCAGAAGAGTGCCGAGAAAGTGATATCCCAGACACTGCGTCGGACTTCAGTCAAGACAGCCGCACTCAGGTATCTCGAGTTCGGTCGAAGCATGTTCGCAGTCGAATTAAAAGAATGCCTTTTGGCCATAACGTAAACGAATCTTTTGTCGAAAATGAATGCTTTTGTTGTCATTGTATCGTCATGTAGCTGTCTGTGTCCGTAATATCAATTCCAATCGCAAGTGTCATTATATCAATTCATTTATTAATCTCATTTAGCTCTTTTATTTACCCAAAAACAAGTCATTTCATACATTTACCCCACATCATTATGTTACTTATATATTTTAACGTAGATTTTAGTATTTATTCAATCAAAAATCAATTTCAGTGTACGACTTAAATAATTACATCGTAGTGTGTTCTCGAAAGTTCTTCCTTGTTGAAAAAACCTAACGATTTCACAATGAATAACCTTTTTCCCAAATTAACGAAAATGAGAATATCTATACATATACATCTATTTGGTCCGCTAAAACGGTAAAATCGTTCCTTGTGTGATTTCTTTGCAGTATTTGGAAAATTTGTGTTTTAATACCGTATGTTAGTGAACGCAGTGAAAGCGGCCTTGGATTTTGGATCTTTCATTGTCAAAATTTCCAGGAATTCATTTCTACTTGTTCGGATTGTTTTTTTCTCAAAATCTCAAGCATATCGATTTTATCGGCTGCTTTAGATTTTATCGTAGTAGTGCTTAAAGTAGTGCTTTCTAGATTTGTGAAATTTTTCAGTCAATAATTGTCATGAGGCATTTTTCAATATTTCAAAGCCATGGTAGATTTTCTAAGTATATTTTTATATATGGTTTTAAATACTCCAATTGTAACTTGATTATCCTCTAAGTTAATAGATTTATATCAGTTTGTAGCCTAAATAAAGCATATTTTATTACAAAATACAATATATTGCAAGAAGAAGTTCTCATTCTCTTGTAGAGTTCATCTTTGGATTTGATTTCGTTTACATAAAGCATTTTCCATCATTTGGTAATTCTGGAAGCGATCATTTTGCAGGTGCTGTAACAGTTCTTGGCCTTTAACCTGATTCAGCATATGCCCTCGTAGTACGAACTCCTTACGGATTTAACATAAAATAGACTTGGGGAAAGTCTAGCATCCGTCTATTTTGCTTTTCAATCCTACTTAAAGTAAAATTAAAAAAATTTTGCCTGGAACTCTTTATTTACTGTCACAAACCTCTGTAATACATTGTATCAATTTAACTCTGTAATTAGCAACTATTCTTTAATTTAACTCTGCAATTAGGAACTGTAATTAGCTACTTTTTATACGATAATAGCGGACTTTCCTAATAGTTTCGTCAAATCTCTATATCGAAACGGGTAAAGGATATAGGCACTGGTTGCCGCCGAAGGAGTAGGAAATTTTCGAATTTTGATGCTTTTAGTTCCCTGGAAAATGCACTCTTTTAAGCACATTTCACTGAAGCAATCCTCCTAATCCTATTGAAAATTATTTTTTTGCAAACAAATAGAACAGTAGATAAAAATAACTGGTACAATTTTGCTGCGGTCTAAAAAAATACCATGTTGTAAATTACTTCTAAAGCTAGGTAACAAGAAGCACCGGTTGTATATTTAGATCCCTCTTTCCATCTTAGCAAAATCATTTTAAAAATAGCATAGCAATTGAATCTAGTTTAAGTAATTTCCACAAATTAATTCTAACTACATTGAAATCGTCTCTGCCTAAACACCACACTAAAATTCAACATTACCGAGATTTAAGTATATTCACAGAGGAAGGTTTCTGGCAGCACCTTTTAATCTTTGTGAACATCTACAAGATGGTAATCAAGCATTCAATAGCTTTCAAGATATTTTTAGTAGCTTAGTAGCTGCACCAGAAAAAACAGTTTTGAGGACAATTAAAACATTTTTGAGGTTCTCCTCTAATTGCCGATGAAAATTTTTTGAAATGTAAAAAAGTTTAAAAGTGAAATTTTAAGGGCGTCTGCATTTTTGGAAACCAACATTTCAATTGTAAATTAAACTGAAACCAATAATTTGTTGACAAATTGTGCATCCATTCAGATTTAACCGCCAATACCAATTCAATATGAGTAATAACACTCCTGTTGTTCGTTTCAGACTCAGCAACAAGTATTTGCATAGTTTAGAGAAATCGGCATATTCATACAAAGATAATTCAAGATTTTTTGTTTCACAATATACA